TCTGAAACACTCCCAAATACTCTACAAATCATCAAAAGATTTGGGAGACTCACACTTTCTAGCATGGAAATGGTCACCTCCAGCATACGACAGAACAGATGTCACCGTGCAGAGTGTAAAACCAAAGAGTGGGGCAGGATGCTCTGCTAACCCACACTGCAACTGGCAGAAAGCAAGAGGAACAGAGGAAACAGACTGTAAGTATTTAATGTGGAATTTGGTCAAGATACCATGGCTGGCATTCCTGCTCTGTTGTAAGAGTGCCATGAAATGTCATTCTACTTCAGGTTTTGCAACTCATTGGGAAGACTGGAGTAAGGATGGTCAAAGTTTGGTTACTCCTAGCTGAAAGCTGTAAGCTCTTCAGTTCAGGCAAAAGCACAATAGAAGTCTCAGCAAATCACATATGCTATATGTTTCTGGTATTTTTACCCCCAGCTATACCTTCTCTAGTTTTTTCAGTGTCTTTTGTATTGTGGCCATTATCTTGACTTATGTAATTTATGTATATTTGTGTAGGTATTTACACACACACAGAAGTAAAAATGCATATATGCATGGTTATGTTAATAGAGTAATTTAAAGGCATTTGACTTGCACATTATTACAATATCAATTTATTCTTTTTCAGTGAACTAAAAATAATTTGTTGAATTCTTGCATAAACTGTGTGCAAATGTAAACAAATGGCCTTACCTATGTGTGACATATTGCTCTTCCTCTGAAGATATTTGTGATATATCTCAACTTCAGTATGAACACTGTTATAAAGATCAAATGCTTTCAAGATTCTAAATTAGTTGCAAATATCAAGAATGCACTATTCTTTGTCTATTTGTACTTTAACATGAAATTTGGGTAAACAAACTTAATTTTAGTAGTCAATTTGACAGGAAGTATCTTTATAAGCTATGTGGAAGTGCTCAATGCAGAGCATTAATGTCATGGGTCATTTCACAATCTGTTTCCATCTTCCATAAAAATATAAAATTCTGAATTTTTTTGAAAAGTATATTTTCTGTTGTCATTCAATGGCTGAAAAAGTGACAAAAATTGATGCTATTAATTATTTAAATTATAAATTATTAAAATGATAAAATTATAAAAATATTCCTAACCAATTATCTTTGGAATTTATGAATAGATATTTATACTTATCACTTAATAGATCTTTATACATATTTTCATTACATTTCATAGTTTAGCCATTCAGTGAGTAGTGCATGATTTGTCAGCATTTCAAACTTTTATTAACATAAACTGATATCTACATCAGAAAACAGTAAAAATATTTCCATCAGTGCTCAGCAGTCTTTATTATTCATGCTAATGAACACAAAGTTTAAAAATGCAATAGACAAGTCCAGTGCTTAGGCAGACATTAATAGCTTGCGTGAGTGACATACATAGCCTACATTATTCATATTATGGCATGAACTAATGTAAGATTGTCTCAAAATACATTAAAACCCCCTTAAAATTTAAAATATGAGATTAAAGTGATAAAACACATTAAAAGTGGTCTTTCTGGTTTTTTTTTGAAGACAGTGGGCCATATTTTGTTCAGAATGATATGGTTTTTAAAAAATTCTGTATTTAATTGAAAACTTTTTCAGATAAAACTAATGAAAAGTATTCTGTATACCACACGATTTATATAAAATAATATAAAATATATTTGATCTGTATATGTACAGGTATAAATATATAAAAACATACGTATTCTTATCTGTGTACCCTTATCTATGTTCAAAAGTGTATGCACCTGATTACTACATGTGTTGAGTATTTGACTACAGCAGATATGAACCTTTCAAGCTATATCTATGCTAGTTCCCCAAGACCAGTGGGGCCAAATCTGTAGGATGTACTACCTGCTATAGGTGCTTTCCAGGAAGAAGCTTCCTGTATCTTTGGCAAGATCCACTCTGGTCCCGTGAACACCTGTTAGCAATTATGATGCTTGTTATAGTTTAGTTAAGAAAAGAAATTCCAGTTTGCTTGAATTGCTTTGCCCTTTCACTTGCAGATCCAGCTAAAACTTATTAAATCCACCAGTTTTGGTTCTGTTAACTTGGCATGTTTCTCTCCTGCTCCTGCAAAGGCTGCATGTGTTGAAGTAATTTATCTGGGGAAGATGTGAACTTTCTGGGGATGTCATTATTCTTTTCCCTGACAACTTCAAATGAGAGCCATTGTCTGACTCACTATGTTTCACCATCGATCTGTTTCTCCAGGGTAATCCGGTGTATGAGTTACTCACACAAACTTTGGGAAATGAAGATCATGAAAAGGTAAAAGGGCAACAAATTCTTCCCCTCATCCCACTCACCCAAGAGCAAAAAAAGTAGAAGTAACTTCTGGAGGACATGATTTCTGAAGAAGGGCATCAGTGTGTCTTTTCAGGTTTTACTGTCTTTCAGGATTTGACTCCCACTTTTTTCCAAAGTGTTCCTTTAGGGTGGCTACACAAGATGCAAAGTTTTATAGCAGCACTGAAGTTGAAGATACCTACCGATGGGTATCATATAGATATTGATGTGTCTGGCTAGTTGCCACATTGTACTTTAAAATTCCTTCCAGATACTATCTCCCACAATCAGGACATCCTTGGATTGTCACAATGATTTAGGATTTAGGATTGTCACAAAGGTTTAGGATACTGATCACTGAGGTAAAACAGTAATTTCTGGAAGGTTTTACTTTTCATTATGGTAGATTTTTCTTACTGATAGTAAGAAAAGGGGAGGGGTGCATGGTGCCTTTTCACTGCCTGCATTGCTAAATGACATAGGAGGACTGACAAGACCAAAGAGATGTCATAGTTTTATTTATCGACAGCACTTTTAAGTCCTTTTGTTTGCCTTGGTCTTCTGAAGTGTTCAGCAACTTGGCTTAGAAACTTGAACCCAAGAGCACATCATGTACATGGAAAACTCTGTTGCCTTCTTGAGCAGAGTACAAGAACGTGGTGGTCAGAGCAGCAGGCTACAGGATGGTGCAATAAAATGTGAACCACTCTGTGGACCAGACCCAGCCACAGGTTACCAGCTGGACCATCCTCCTCCACTAACATCAGAGCGCCAAATCTCCCCTGCTCAAGAGTAGTCAGAGTAAGTCAGTGTTTGAAAAATGTAAGGTAACTGTTCATACACATTGCTGGGAAAGTTCTAGCATGTTTAGAAAACTACCAACAAGCTGCACTTATGGACTACCTGTAGAATGCTGTAGGATCTTAAAAAAAAAAAAAAGCACAAAAAGTGCTTCCTCATAATGAGTGGCTGGTGAAGACCCTAAACCATAGCACAGGGTAAAGGGAAAGGAAGTGAAGAAGCCATGAGAGATACTAAATACATTTACTTACAAGGGATCTCATCTTCACAGGTGCTTCTGTTCCAGGTACAGGAGAATTGAAACTATGTGCTAAAGGTCCTGGGACCGTAAAAAAAAACAAATCTATGTGGATGCAACAGACGACCACCAAGTAAACAGAAGGAAAATGAACTATTTGGAACAAAACAGCAGCAGCATCAAACACATTTTGGGATGTACAGATACCACAAGCAAATGAAGTTATGCATTTGACTAGTTACAGCATATTTACAGCATATTTAGTCTGATACCATTTCCCACTTCTTCAAGAAAGGGAAATTAAGATACACACAAAATTATACTGACAGCATACAAAGGGATGATGGTTTTCATGTGGCATACTCCAGCACTGAGTGCATAAACTTCTAAATTAACAAAGTAAAAGCTTCTTGCCTTTTATTTGTGATGTCTCAAACACAAGAGAATTTGTGACTATATAAGGGTGTGTAGAGTGCAGATTGCGACTGACATTCTAAGCAAAAACAAGCAGAGCAAAGATAGGCATGATTGTTCCAATAAACATCAGACAATTTTGCAACGCATATGCAAGTCTGAACCTTTTCCAATTTTCAAACAGCTATAAAAAACCATCCCACCCAAAAGCTTTGATATTTAGATTAAGATTGCTTACTTCTTTTTACATCACTGTCACTGTTTAACAATTAAATGGGACCCCCTAGGAGAAGAAAAGATGCCTTTTTGTAAAGAATCAAAATTACAAATATTTTATTGGTAATTTAGAATGTTTACACTGCTTGATCTACAGAAGTTGCTATTTTAAGTGATCACAGAAAATGAAATATAGAATTATTTTACACAGCTATACAGAACAATTTTTAAAAATCCTTTAAACATTTAAATACACACAACTTTCTCTTGCTAAGCCAGCTGTGTCTTGATTAAGAGCTGTTTGGGACACTGAAATGTCACAGCTCACAGGAGATGCTCCACAACCATCAACTTTTGCATTTGATTCTCTGAGGTGTAGTGCCAGTGTTTCAGTTCAGTTTAGGTAGAATTCAGAGCAGCTGGGAACTAAAATCTAACAGGTATCTGAAGGCCAAAACACAGAGTTGTGATGTAGTTTCTTAAAAGTTTTTTTCTACCTTGAGCCACATGAACTCCTCAGACCACTGGGACAGATGACTCTGTGACACCGCTCTGGGCAAGCACAGCGCAGTCTATAAAGGTGCCTGTGTCCCTGTGCAATTGTTCTGCTACCTCTGACCCCGTCTGAGGATTAGAGAGCATTGGACTGGATGTCTTACCCCACAAGCTGATTTCACCCTCTTTCTTTCAACCTCTTTTAAAGGAGTTTTCTGATCAACTCCATTAAAAAGTATTTAGCTTTTTCTCTTTTTTCATTCAAAGCAGCAAATGTCAGATAGGTTTTTTAAAGATATATGTTGGACCCTAGTTTTGCTCAAACTGAATTGAATGGTTAAATGCTTACTGATTTCAGTGAATGAAGGAACAAACCTGTACTGAGGATTTCAGAAATGTGTGGAGTATTACATTAATTAATCTTAGAACTGTATAAGGACAGATGTTTTGAAATTTTTTATTACAGGAAATGAAAGCTTCAATAAAAATACTGCTTTGAATAATACTGAAAAAATGACAAAGAGTGTCACTAATATTTTTATTTGAACCCAAAAAGGGGGCAGTATATATGGTCTTTATTTGCAACACCTAAGTATCTTACTTAGCAGGACTTAACAAAGAATTAGTCCAGGAAAAAAAGGGGAAATTATGTTACACATTTGCCATTACAACAGCTGTATTTTAAATAAAAACAACAACAATATACATGTACAAAATTGTAATGATATAACTTGATGAAAATAACACTGATCAGTATCAAATCTAAGATTTCACTTATTATCCATCCTTAACAGATGAAATGCATTTCACAGAAATAGATGCAGGTAGGGTGATGTGAAATTATATTCATGGCTTACTGTGACAAAGTTACCATGAAAATTAAGGTAAAAATGTAAAGAAGGAAACCTAAATGTATAAAAGTTCAGCATTATAGCAGCTGAGTGGATGTGCTGCAGCAAGATGGTAACAGCAACCTTATGGTACACACCACACATGCTTGCACTCACTCACACACAAACACACACATGCCCATGCCCAAATGCATGTGCAGGGACCCTCCTCAGTTTGATTATAAAAGCATTCACTTACCAGCTTTTGCTAGGGCCAACACCAGGAATGGGGCTCACCACATGGTTTTAGCTGTAGTTACCTAAGTCAGAAACCCATCTAAGGTAACATCAGCTGAACATTTTAATGGAAGCTGTTTTCATCCTGGACACCTTTAAGGCACTTTAGTAAAAGATATGAAGTTAATCAAGACTGGAAAAATTATAAAAATCCTGACATGTGAGATCTGGAAATTTAAAATAAAAAAATTCCTGAGTTTTGATAAATAATTTTATTATAATAAAATACTAAGCCTATTGAAAACATGGCTTTTATAAAAGCATGTTATATGACAATTTTTCTTGATAAACTCATGCCTTAGTGCACGAAATATGTTAATAAGTCTTTGGGGACATCTGTAACAAATTAATAGGAAATGCAAAGTCAAAGAATGACCTGTCATGTACATACAAAACATGCATTGCTCCTGGCAACACACATCATGTTTACTACAGGCACCTTTATCTTTTTCCGTTCTTGCAGGGTCCTGCCCATATCTTAATATTTTACAATTAATTACATTTTACTACTATTTACAGAAGCAGAAACTAATCACACATCTTCTTATGCCCATAAATATGGAACAACAGAAGTAGAATATATTTTAAAACAGTATGAAAATAAGTATGCTACATAGTACTCTTCTCTAGAAGTACAGTTCATTAATTATTTTCTTTATGAAGATTTAAATCTAAATGAAGAGAGAAGTCCAAATTATCTCTTTTAATCTTGGTCACATTTTTTTCACCCATTATTTCTAAAAACTTTTGCCCCAAGACAGTATTTGGATGGTAAAACAGTTTTAAATTGTCACAAAAGCATCTCCAGTAAAGAACCATCAGGCTCTGGAATGCCCACTTTTTATGCAGACCATCCATTTGTTTTCAATAAAAAATAGCTGAAATAATAGCCATTGTCCATATGTTTCTGATAGTGGTAATTTTTTGCTTCTGGTGTGTTTTTCTCTCCTTTGCTATCAGTAGACACAAATACTCATACCCAAAGTGCTGGCAAATGCACTAAGACACACAGTGGCTACAGAAAGAAATTTATAGAGCCCTTGCGAGGTTCCTTCTGACAACAATAGGTAAAAACAATCATCAAAGTTAAATGCACTTTTGACTTTACTGCATCCTTTAATATTTTCAGTAGCTACTTCTATAATATACCTGATAAAAATACTTTTTAACATTTAGACTTCTATTACAAAGTATTTCATATTTTATTTTTAAAAACTCACAATAGTGATGGTGGTTAATTTGCTTTATAAAAGACAATACATTGAGTTATATATAATAATGGCATTGATCCAATTAACTTGATATTATGCTGCTTAATAATTACTGTGACTTCAGTTCCTACAAGTGTTACAGAGAATACAAATGTAATGTACAGGAAGTGGGGATCATTTGGAAGTGCTGATTCAGAAGTATTCAAGTGCTAACAATGACTTGTTCTTTCTATGCTTCTCTTCATGTTCCATAAATGATGATTTCATAAATGTTCATGATTTTCAATGTGACAGAGTTCTTTTTTTTTTTGTGCAAATACAAAACTAGGTTTTTCTGGATGTTGCCATCTTGTTAAAAGTAATTGCCACTTTTACTTAAAAAGATACCAGCATTAATGTAAGAGAATATACCTTTTATGCTTGTTTTATGAAGAGCTGTACTTGTTACTGGAGCGGAAATTATCATATCCATGATCATTAGCTTTGAACTTTAAACAGGACTGCCTTTCCTCCAGGGACAACAGATCTTTGGATTGGCACCAGCAACACAAGCATGACTGTAAAAATAAAAGAAATAAACATTTTACATCACTCTGTTTTTGCACATGTGGCAAAATGCACTGAAAAGTTGCCCTTTCTCAGGGGAAGAGTAGGAAATGGCAAATGTGCAAGCTGCTGCTCTGGGATTAGAACATAAAGCCCAGCCCTATTCACTCACACCAAGCCAGGACTACAAACAGGTCTGTCTCCTAAAATGTTGGTGCTGCAAAGGGACAAGTACAGATTTGCACCCTCTGCCTCACGTGACTGATCAAAGAGCTCAGTCAGGATGAGGGAGCGCAGGCTCAGCACTCTCCCCATCAGGATGCAGAGGATATGCCTACATGAGTCTCTGCAGCACAGTCTGAGTCTGCTTTGTCGGTGCTCTGGAAGTAGCTGGGTGCCAGCTTCAGTCAGGAAGTGATGTAGCACGGTCCCCAGAGGGTTTATTGTACACCCTGCTCTTTTGCTTTCTCTTTTTGCTCCCATCAAACCCTAGTTCCTTCCTATGGAACTTCAGCAGGAGAGGGAGAGAATTAATAACTCAATAAAAATTTAAAGTAAAATTTAATGACACTTTGTGAATGTTAAGGAATGAATTTTACTACTGACATAATCTTTTAACCAGAGGAGCAACTCCTTGCAGCCACTTACCTTAAAGCAGTTTTGGAATCTTTTGCTCACCAAATACAGAGCTATTGGATTGATGCAGGAGTTCAGTGAAGCCATGTTAATACCGATATAGTCCATCACAAGAAAAAAGCTGTGTGGAAATTAAAGTGAGACACTTCTCATTTGCTTTGAAAGGGCTTAGTAGAGGTTTACAAGTATGGAAATTGGACTCAGTTTCACTAATCAAGACTAGCTATTAAATGTAATAGTAATGGGGCTTAAATCAACAGGATTAACTTATGTGGGTAAGAGTAACACTCAACAATAAAGTCTGAGTCAGAAGACCATTCTCAAGAAAGTAATTTCAGGAGATCCAACCATCTTAACTTTTGGAAGAAGAGGTTCACAAGGTCTTTTTGCACAAATTGAATCCTAGCTGCTCTGTCCTGAAAGGGAAAATAGGGACAGAAATCCTCTTTTTATTCTCATATCACCACATGACAGAAGAACAGTCCCAAAAAGGATAAGGAGGAAAATGGGGAAAAGAAAGGGAATTCCTCACAATTTTTTTTCTCTGCTATTGGAGTGAATCCAGAGGGTCTGAGATGAAGAAGCAGGGACATACAGAGTAAGCTAGTTCAATAGGAAATCCAAACATGCCTATGAAGAATGCCCACAATATACAGACATTTTATTTTTGCATTCTCACCTTAGAAGTTCACATCTGTTAGGATCCTTCTGATCATAAATAGTGAGTTTCAAGATTCTGCTTAAGTGAAGTGGGAGCCAACACAAGGCAAAAACAAGTACCAGACAGAACACAGTTTTGGCCACCTCACGTCTCTGAGAAAGAAAATTGGACAAAACAGTATTACAGTTCTCCTCTCTCCCTCTGAATTGTTGTTGTCTTCTAATATTCAAATGTTTAATAAACAAGATAAAAAAGCCTATCACAATAGGAGTTAGGAAAACATCAAATAGCTTGTTTTCTTGGAATATGTGCTTGATCTTTTCTATTGTTTTAGATGTCTCTCACTGATTTGATATTTCTCTTATTTCAAGAAATATGAGTAATAATATGAAAAATTGAGGTCATGAAAATATTAATTTAAGCAATAATTTAAATTAAAACTAAGAACATATTTGTCTCCCTGATCACTTTCAAATACCAGCTTGTTTTCTATTGCATTTCCTCATGCTTTGATCTCACAGCTTATTTTAAATGCCCCAAGAGATTCCAATTACAGCTCTAACCAGGTAAGAGGAAAGGAGCACAAATACACATTAGAGAGCAATCATAGTTTAATTCTAGTAGTGTCTGATGTTTGTGTCTGGGGCACTAGTACCTTGGAATGTCTGCTGGAATATGTTCTGCTAACATATACTGTTAACCTCACTAGAATTCAGCAAGAACTTTTTTCAAATAATTAACAGCTTTATAGCATCACCTTCTAGATTAGTGCATGACTCCAGTTTTCATTACAAAACAGCCAATTCTCATTATAGCAAAGAAATAAAACCTATAAAACCTGAAATATTAAAACCAAAGAAGAATGAAACAATTTTTTGATTTTCAGTTAAAATCTTAGGTTCCTGAGGGCTCTGATATATACATATGTATATGAGTTCAGCAGCAGCACTGCTAGGAAAGTTCACTTTGCTTCTAATCCTGAAGTCATACAAGAACAGAATGATGTGGCAGGAAAATCAATAAAGTTATTGTTTAGCCTGTCTACAGTTACAGAGTGGCCAGGGATAAATTTTTACCTGTTTTAAGTGGTCATTTAAAGCAATCTGCATCCCGCTTTTCTTTCGTAACATCTCACAAGTCATGAGAGTATAGAAAAATGCTGTGATAGCCAGCGGCAAACAGAAGTAAAAGCTGAACAGCCACCAGTCTTTAGCTTGCTTATAAAACTGTAAAGAAAAAAGTAAAGCAAAAACATGGTTAGGAATTAAATACTGAGCATTTAGCAAAGTGTGCTGTTAACTAATTTGGTCAGCCTGTCCTGAAAAGCATTTCTGTAAGGTGTACATTACAGGTGAGAAAACAGGACAAGACAGCAGTATGTTCAAAGCCTACAAAAAGTCAAAGATTTCTGAATGCTCTTCTTTGGACCAGTATGCTTCAGAAATGTCAGTATTTCATTTGAACATTATATTCACCTACATGTCACATACACTGAGATCCAAGGAACTCACCTAGAGATTTTATCAATTTTAGTGACTTACCATCATAAAGGATGTTTTCTGTGTGGGGTGAAGCAAGCAGATTCTAAGATACCTTCCTCTGTATTCCATTGTAATCATGTCAAATGCAATAGCTTCTGGAACAGCCAGTATCACTGATATCACCCAGATGAGGACAATTTCTACAGCAGTCCACTTTGGCACTCCAATTCCTTTAATGCGACTCCAAGAAGCGACTGCTCGGTACCTGAAGCAACAGCACACATATACAAATTCAAAATACGAGAAAATTCACCCAGTTTAACTGGCTTGAATTCATCCTATTTGCATTGTATCAGCTGAGTGGAAAGGTGAATTTGAGCCAATGCCCATATAGGAAACAAATTAGAGACTTCAGTGAAAAATGGGTCTCACCTGTCTATACTGAGAGCACACAAACTCAGCACTGTGATGCCCACCGAGGCCTTTTGAATGAAGGGCACTAATTTGCACATTTCAACACCGAAGGGCCAGTCCTCTGCAAGTAGCTGTGAAAAGAAAACAACAATTACTAAAAGAAAAAGTCTTTCTCAATGCTGAAACATGGACTTCTGTCTTGACTGTTTTCCTTTTTCACCAGGTCTTGTCGTATGAAGATAGGCTGAATGGGGCTTGTTCAGACTGGAGAAGAGAAGGTGCTGGGGAGACCTTGTAGCAACTTTTCAGTACCTAAAGGGGGCCTGAAAGAAGGCTGGAGTGGGACTTTTTGCAGAGGCATTTAGTCATAGAACAAAGAGGGAATGGCTTTAATCTGAGATATTGTGAATGCCCGACCTCTGGAAGTGTTGGGCTGGACAGGGCATTGAGCAACCTGGTCCACTGAAAGGTGTCCCTATCCATGCCATGCCATGGAGGTTTGAACTAGACAACCACTAAAGTTCAAGTCAAACCATTTTACAATTCTGTGCAAAACTGAATCAAGAAGAACCTTTCCACAAGGGAGCCCTTGAAGTGTGTGTCCTAAAAACTAGACAGTAGCAGTGTAGTCATTCCCTGGTGAGATAAGGGTATCACTTAAGTCTTAGTCCTGCCTCTTTAAGCCCTACAAACTCCACTCCTTTTGCTTCTAACTTCATCATCCCAGTGTTCATGGGAAAAAATGATAGAGCAGGTGAGGATCTTCCACATCTTTGAATTGTCATTTTCTGCCTTGAGTGAACACTGCTTTTCTTACATGTCCCAAATAACACACCCTTGATCAGAAATACAGAAAATTATTTGAGGCTGATAAGAACAGGGACAAAACCAGCAGGTGCATATCTGGGTTGGAGTTTACTTAAAGCTTTGTGTCTAGGCTCCATCAGCTGAGAAGTCAGGCAACACTGTAGAGAAATGTACTCCCCACAGTTTTTAGCTGACAATGTGATAACAAATGAAAGGATCCACTAGACATTCCAGGAGCATAGGCAGATAGTTTGGTCTAAATGTTTTGCAGCAGATTAAAACATCACATGAATCCACCACTAATGGTCTTTATTGAACAGTTCACCAACATTCTGTATAATAATACCAAAAGGACTATCTGCACATTCAGCATACCTCTAAGTACTAAGAAATAAAGAAATAAGCATAATGCATTTCAGGATGGCTAACACTTTGAATCATATTTAATGGAAATCTTGTCACATTCCCAGCTGCACATTTTATCTGATTTACTGGAAAAGATTTACTGAACACAGAAAGCACCTTACTCACAGCTGATTCTATGAACAGAAAAACATCTGTAGCCTCAGTTTAGCAACGTTTAGCCTTTGAACTCTGCTGTGAGCTTCTTTGATGGTCAAATACACCAGAGCAGAGCCAAATCGTCCAGTTTTCATTAAAACAACATTCTCCATAACAAGGGTTGTGCCAAGAAATAGACGCAATTGTTATATAGAAGAGTAAACTTTTGGAGTTTCTGTAATTAGTTGAATTATCTAAGCCCATCTCTGTTTTTTCATAACTTTCTTCAAATTAGGTCTTTGGAATCTGTTTCAGATACAGGGCTACAGAATGAAAAAGGAGAAGGAAGAATGAGAACTACACAAAAGAGACTGGAAAATCTTTCTCTTGGCTTGAATCTCTTCAAATAACTTATTTAAGAGGGTTGTAAGAATGGAAGAATAGCTAATCATACTGCATGGATGTTTCTGGGAACCAGAAAGGCTATGAAGTCTCTAAGGAGGGTACTGGACAGGATGGATTGATGGGCCGAGGCCAAATGTATGAGGTTCAACAAGACTTGGGTCACAAAGGCTCCATGCAGTGCTAAGGCAGGAAGAGTAGTGGGAAAGTGGCTGGAAAGATCTGTGAGAAAAGGACCTGGGAGTGCTAGGAACACCTGGCTGAACATGAGCCATCAGTGAGCCCAGGTAGCCAAGCAGGCCAATGGCATCCTGGCCTGTATCAGAAGGACCAGGGCAGCGATTGTCCCTGTATTTGGCACTGCTGAGGCCACACCTCAAGTGCTGTGTCCAGTTCTGGGCCCCTCACCACAAGAAAGACATTGAGTTTGAGGTGCTGGAGTCTGTTCAGAGAAGGGCAGCAGCTGTGGCTGGTGAGGGGTCTGGAGAATAAGTTGCATGAGAAGCAGCTGAGGGAGCTGGGATTATTTTGTCCGGAGAAGAGACCTTGTTCTCTATCACTGCCTGAAAGGAGGCTGTAATAAAGTGGGGGCTGGTCTCTTCTCTGTGTAAGAAACGACAGGACAAGAGGAAATGGCCTCAAGTTGCACCAGGGAATGTTTAGATTGGGTATTAGGAAAAATTTCACTGAATGGCCTGTCAGGCACTGGAACAGGCTGTTCAGGGAAGAGTTCAAAAAAAGATGTACATTTGGCTCTTGGGGACATGGTTTAGAGATGAGCACAGCGGACTTGATGATCCTAAGACTGATGTTAAGATATCTTTGCCAATCTTAACTATTCCACAGTTCTAAAATGAAAGGTAGCCATAGAGTTGCCTGTTCACACTGGTTTGGTTCAGCAAAATCCTTATGCAAACGTGTATGTCCATCTAAGGGTAAACACTTAAAAGGTCCATGAGAGTTTTTGAAGAGTCCTGATAAAATTTGAATATAATTTTATTTAAACACAAAGGAAGCTAAGAACACTTCATGACCATGGGCTTTTGGGAATCTCTATGAAGTGGCCACCAGTATTTTCAGATACCAGAATACCTCCAAACACCTGCTTTAGCTCTATGCTGTAATGGAATCTTTAAAAGAACAGCAGTAGACAAACTGCAGCATGGCTCAGCTTTCTATTTCTTCAATGGTCTACTTAAGTAAGACAATAAATATAATGCCTCTGCAGAAATGAAGCAGAGAAATAAATTTTAAAGATTTATGTTTCTCAAGAATTTTATGGAAAGTAATAAAGCAGAGGAAGAAGGGATGAGGTTGTAATAACCGTACAGTATCTTTTGCTTATGTGATGTGGGAAAATAACACAGTCTGTAATTAAAATATTTTCAGTAAAGCCTCTCGCTGAAATTACTTCTGAATTTCTGTAAGGGGTTGACAGTAACAATCTACTATTAAAACTGTAATGTGAATAATTACATGTATTCTAAATTTACACCCTACAGAACTGAATGACACCTGGATTGACTTATATCAATAAGGTAGTGAACCTCTAGCCTTTCACATCTATTTGCCATAGAAATCAAGGACTGGTGGTAAGTACATTGTATACTTATTTACAGTACCTAGTGTACATTGTACATGAGTATATACTAGACTAAAGAGAACTTATTAAAAAAAACACTTTGAAGTAAAATATTCTTTTCTTTGTAACTGAAATGCAGGACTTTGGTCAAGTCTCTATTGGTATTATTTGTTGAAAACTTTTATTTACATCTAGCTTGTGTGTAGAGCCTGTCTCTTCCCTAAAATCACAGCAGTTCAGCCAAATGTTGTAGATTTTGCTTAACTAATTAGTACTTATCACTCAGGTGCAGACAGTCACACCTGTGCTCCAAACAGACTGGATTTGAGCCAGCTCCAGTTTGGGATTATAGAGGTGTGGCACACAACTGAATGCAGTTTACTGAGAGAAAGGGCGCATTAGCTTCAGTTTATCATAACATAAAAACATTACTTTCATTCAGCCAGCTTGTATCAGGGCAGGATGGACATGCAGCTGTCTGCACTGGATTGCAAAAACATGTGCTTTATGTCTTGCAGCTGATGTATTGTGAAATTTGAGCATTTTAATGCACGAGTCACAAGTCTCTCTATCATGGTATTTCAAGTGGGTAATGATACAAGCTTTACACACAAAGCCTGAAAACATTAGGAAGTAAGAGGAAAAAACCAAAATAATATTTTGATTGCTGAAATATGTTTCCTTGATGTTTCTGTTTGTTCTCTGTATTGCTATCCCCTTCAAATACAGCTTTGAAGTACAGTGAAGATCCAGTGTAAAGTATTTGGGGGCATCATGATAATTTTTAGTGAAATATAGATGTAGCCTATTGCAATTTTGTATGAGTAAAATTATTCTCTTATAAGTCACAATAGGGTAGCTGTAAAAGGATTGTCATTTTACAAATGACTCTGAGCCATGAGAGGAGATGCTGCCAAGTGGCAGCAAAGAGAAAAATAATGTTGTGTTTTCATAAGATGCCAAGAGTAGTCTACCACTGGCTGTATCCCGAGTGACCTTTCCAATGTTTTACAGTCACTTATTTTACACAGGCAAAGTTTTAATTGCTGAGCAGCAGAGATATGTTTAAGATGAAACAGATCAAAAGGAAAGGAAAAACATTGCAATGAATGAAGTGAAAGCATACTTAAAAGAACCAGTACATGTGATGCATGTCTAGCCAACACTTTGTCTAACTGGACAGATTTGAGCCTAAACTGATGTACAAGCTGCAGAGCTATGAAAGAAGCCCCAAGAGATGCTGTGACTCACAGACACACCTGTGAATCACAATTCCCACTCTGCTTTCTCTTAGTTGTGCAAGAACTGAAAGAATCTGCTGCTGGAACGAGCAAGGCTGTGAGCACAATGTGCTGCTCTAGCGCTCAGCTGCTGTGGTCCCCAGGCAGAAGGCTGATACCTGACTCCAACCCACGGGCTGCAGTGGGGCAGGAAGAAGCAGCAAAGCGTGCGAATATTCCCACCAGTGTTCCAGTCCCGAGCAGTGAATGAACATGGGAACACAGAGCAGGAATTCGCGCTTCCGCCAAGCTGTGCGTTCACAGCAGGTTTCGTTCGCAGGACACTAGACTTGGTTTTCATCATTATAAACAGCAGGTACAAGGAAAACAGACATGCAGCTCTAGACCGAATTCACACACAACAGTTTTTCAATGTGTCCCTGAAATGACTGGTAGATTTTCATGTGGTTTTTTCTTGGTGGAGTTTTTTTGGGGGTTTTTTTGGGTCTTGTTTTTTTTTTTTTTTACACAGGGACATACAGATATTTTACAGGAACAAGAAATTTTCAAAACAGAAAATTTGCCCAGGAAATTAAAGTTACGGTCAGGGATAACTCAGATAACATTACAAACTTATTACTATTTAGCAATACTTAGGTGAGGATCTCCCCATGAGACAAGAAAATGTATTTTCTGCTTTCAAGCATAGCTTGGATTGCTTTACTGATCTACTTAAGAAATTGTTTAAAATCTTAATATGAGCCATGCAATTATTTTATTTTCTTGTATTCTTGTAGGAGCATTTTTCACACTCCTGCTAGAAACTTAGTAAAAAAAAATTAAGATAAAATAATTTTATAGAGTCGTCTTGAAAATGACAGAAACCTTACAATATGCTGTTGAATTAAAAAATGTCTGCAACTTCACAACTCCAGTGGAAAGACTGCATCAAAAGTAACCACTTTGAAAGCCATGCTGCTGACAGATTGGGATGCATAAATACAGGGTTGAAGAAGAAGCCAAAACAGGTCAAAACTTGCTTTGAAATTTGTCACATGCATATTCTATACATGTGAATGTATACACCATGTATACATATGAAAAAAACTACTTTCAATTTATGAATCTATACTAGCATAATCTAACTTACTTCAGTTTTTAGACCTACCATGGAAACTACGTATGTGTACTTTTCACAGCATTCAGACATTTCCACTACTCCATATACTTGACTTCAGAATGGACTGCTCCATCTAAATACAGAATAAAGTTACCCCTCCCTGCCACTCCCTGCAGAGTCCAGATAGGTTCCTTCACTGGAGAATTCAAATCTTTGTGCCTATACCTGCACTTGTTCACCATAAATGGTTCTTAAGCAAAACAGACTTTTAGCTTAATACGGTCAGAAATCAAGAAACTTTGTGTAAGAAATTCTGAGATGAACTTTGCAAGACCTCAAGTAAGTGGTTCAGATCTTGGAAGAAAGGAAATAATGCATTTCTTCCAATAAAATGGCCATTACCTTTAAGATCAGAAGAACTAGCAACCAAGAGTTCCAATATGGAGGAGTGAGAATCCTTTCTAAAGAGAAGCACTTTGATTAGAAAGTTAGAAAAAGGTTGGCTTTATCATAATGCATAGCCTACAGGTATTTGCATTACAAGAGTTAGTAAGTTCATTACAAACAAATTTCTACAGAAATCTTCAGAGCCTCTTCCAGAGGATAGCTGGATTAAAAAAGGAGCCAATTTGTGTCTGCATGGTATATAGAGTGCCTAATCTGGTCTTTCTTGTATTTCCAGTGCTTGATAATGCCATATTGTGTTAACCATAATTTTTATGTAATCCCTAAATAAAGTTAGTGAAAATAAATCAGTGCTTACATAGCTGACTCTGGCCTTTGATTAGTGGCTTGGATAAAGACTAGATTTTTTTCCTTCCCTTTAATATTTTTCTGCACTCTTCCATTTCGCTCTGAGAACAAGGAACCTATGACAATATTGCCAGGTAGATACTTTTCTTCAGACATTTCTTGGTAGTCAGAGTTTGGAAAACCCCACAATAATGTGCAGAGCCTAGATTGCTCCCCTTGTTAAAAGTCCACTGGGATATGACAATAAATTTGATTAAATATACAGGAACAAATATTACAAAATAAGAGAGAGATGTTGTTTGTGTACCAGAAGAGAAAGCATGTTAGTATGTGATGTGATTATGGTTTTTTAAGCCTATGAGAGGCAAAGCTAGTGTAAGTTTAGAATTTCAAGTCCTGATGCTTTGGTGCCTTAGACTTGGGAAAGTCAGCATAATCTATCCAGAACTGCAGCTGCACAAGCTGCCACTGTCTTGGCTTCCAAAGTTTAAGTGCAGAGAAGGACACAAAAAGCTCACTGACCACCTACTCCATCCTTCTGCTCCTTAACTGCTGTTTGCAGCCTCAAATTAACAAGGACTTATTCTGTTCAGTGGAGCAGCATAGGATCACCTGCACATCCAATTAGTAGCAATTTTGCAAAGTTTCTACACTGCCAAAACATTACATACTGCAGAATGACTGTCTCAGACTTTGCTCTGCTTTCCATTCTGCAGCTCAAACATCCAGGCAAAGCCAGACCATTTACCCAGACAGGGCCCAGGACCCAGAAAGCCAAAAATATCTGCCAGGTTCTACATGCTGGAACTGAATGCTCTTCAAGCCCTTATTTCATAGCCAGTTTCCTGACTGTGTGACATATTAGGAATGCAGTGGACTAATTAGCATCCTATGCATTGGACTGCATTATCCTCCCTATCCAGGTAACACCTGTTTTTCTTTAGATACCCTTGGTTTAGGAGATGTCAATTTTCCTTTGTGCACTTTTTCAGCTACTTATATTCACTTAAATAGTCACAGGGGACATCTTTTGCAGTTATCCTTTTTAATACCTAATAAAAAGCTTATTCTAGTGCAGGGTTTGAATTGTCTCCTACGGGTCTGTCTGGAAAGCATTCACGGACACTTTCCCACTTTCTAGGGCAAGTGCTGGCATTTTATTAACATACGAAATTCTCTCACACTGTTTCATGCAGCTGCCTCACTGATGATGTGGTAACAAATTCTGAATCTGGATCTGTTTCATGCAGTCTTAAATTGTTTCAAACTGCAAGTTACAATTGCTAAGTATACTTGATTTACTGAGGGAGCCTTTGCTTCTCGTACTGCTGAGTGATCAAAGCCAGTTTTTTTACTGCATTACTGTATGTATTCTCCCTGTTGCTCTGGAATGAAATGGGATGTAGAGTTGATAAAAAGTTATCAACTCAAACTGCCCTCAAAATTTGATTAAATAAATATAGGTGTTTTTTCCTTGTTTTTTTAAACTTGCCTTTATTCAAAAATTCTGTCTTAAAATAGCAAATATTTCACTCATTATTATAAGGGATCATATAAAGTGATTGTGGGTTCTTCAGTAAGATGATTAGCAGTGAGGGAGATTTAGCACCTGAGAGTATTGCATAGCTCCTAGCATTATCAATAACACAATAAAAATACTAGACTTGCAGCTGGTGCAATATTTATTGGTTAGTAATCTGACCCTTTATTCATCCTACAAGGAAAAAAGCCTATGAGTAGGCTCCAGCCTACGCATAATGATACCCTTGGTGACATTCAATCAAGATAAGAACTGAGGAATATTATCACATATTAACATTAACTTTGAAATTATCACTGACATTACAAAGTCTCATACAGCTGTTTTTTACTTAATCTTTTTGATTTTTCTGAGAACAGATGGAAATAATATTTTTGTTCAATGTACTTTTTTACAAAACCACGTTTTTAAAGTAGTTATTTTGTTTTCCAAATTCCACCTTCATTCAAAAGAGTACACTCCTCTCACAAGAATTAAGAGAGCGTATAGTATAAAAACCACTAAAACTTCAAATCTGAGAACAATCATGTAATCCAAATTAACTGGATCATGAATTTAACACAATGATGACATTCCCTGCTTTGTAATACTTTAAAAGAATAGAGAATATTCTCTCATCTCAGCAGCTTCTGGGATAACTATTATAGATTCAAAATCTGTCCCTTCAACATAGCTTTCTAAAAGTACAAGTAACAGACCCTAGTTTAGAATCGTGCATACAAAGTGAAAAGGAGATGATAGATGAAGACTCTTCTGTTCACTTTATGAAGTCACTGATGGGTGCTCAAGGATCAGGACTATAAACATTGAAAGCAGAAGGAGCTCTATTGTTTCCAGTATTCCTTCAAAGAGTGCTAGATTACAACTAGAGCCTGAATTCAACTGCCCAGTTAATTCCTTAGGACAAATGGATGGCACAAGCTGGGTAGAGAAGACAAGGGTTATCTCCCCTCTATGGCAAGTCTTATCAAGTCAAAGCACAGACTACCGAAGGTGTGAGAGGTGCAGGTGTGGCTCATTCCCTCTCACGCTGCCCAGGCTGGAACACTGGCAAAGGGTGAAAGGGTTCACAGCTCAGGAAAGCATCGTGTCTCCCAACCAAGAGATGTATAAAACCGCTAGCTGAACGATCTTGGCTCCTCCTAGAAAAGCCCCCACACCAAAAGGGACTGCACAGACCCATGTAAAGTATCATGACCAAGCCTGCCGCAGCTGAGCACAAGCGACCAAGTGGTACCCACAGGAGAGGGTTTTCTGTGCCTCCCCTCCATTCCTCGACCAGCCCACCGAACATTTATTTATTGCATTTACTTCCTTAATCCCTGCGACAGCACCTGTTTCCAGGTGATTTTCAGAGCTTGGCCACCTCCATTCTGCCCCATTCCCAGCCTGGAAGACTGAGAGGGACGGGATGAGGCATAGAGAGGGTGCCATCTGCGGCCACATCTGACCAGAATACCACCCTCCGGCAGGGTTTTGTCGTGAGGCGAACTCACGGGTGTCTCCCAGGCAGGAAGGGACGCGTCTCCCTGCGGCGGGGACGGGCATCTGCGGGCACCGGCAGGGAGCACCGAAGGGTGACCGCCGCACCCCGACGCCCGCTCCCGAATCCATCCTCGGCCCCTCCTCACCTTGTAGACATTGATGGGGATGTCGATAATGATATGGAGCAGGTCGCCCAGGGCCAAGCTGGCGATGAGAATGTTGGGGCCGTTCCTCATGCACTTGTTCTTGTAGATGATCCGCAGCAGCGTGGAATTGCCGATGATGCCCAGGACGAAGACCAGGCAGGACACGACCGTGTTGATGTACTTGAAAGTCTCTTTGATCTCCGTCTGCCCCGTGCACATGGGGGGCGAGGCGGAGCGCGGCCGCCCTCCGGCCGGCGCCGCGCCCTGGGGCAGCGCGGCCGGGCGGGACGCGTTGTGCTCGGCGCCGCGCAGCGCGGGGGTCGCGGCCGTCGGGGGCGCGGCGGCCGCGCTCTGCCTGCCCGGGCCCGGCCGGAGCAGGGAGCCGTCGTCCTCGGCGGCGGCGCGGCAGCTGAGGAGCAGCAGCAGGAGGAGGAGGGCGGGCATGGCTGCGCGGCACGGCAGATTGCCGCCGTCGGCGCCGACCTGCGCGGAGAGAGAGCACAGACAGGGCGTCAGCTGCGGGGACACCGCGCCCGCCGCTCGCTGCCCCGGGGCCGGGCCGCGGCGCTGCGTGTCCTCGGGCGGTGCTGGCGCTGCGGGCGGCTCGGCCGGCACAGCAGCGCCGGGGCTGAAAGCTGCGCGGCGGCGGCCGTAGCCAGCAGCCCCGACGGCCGGACCTGCTCGCCGTCGCCCCGCGCGTCTCCCGCTCACCGAGCCGAGCGGAGCCGAGCCGATCCTCGCCGCCCGCCGGCCAGGCAAGGCAAACGCGCTCCGCTGGCTGTCGCCGCGCCCCGGCTGCGTGTCCCCGCCCGGGCCCGGCTGCCGCCGCTGGCCAGCGATGGGCGCTCCGCTCGGGAAGGCGGCGGGGACCGGCGCTGGCGGCAGAGCCCGGTGTCCGTCAGCCGCGCACCCGACCCCGCGGCCAAAGTCGTGCCGGCGGCGCAGGGCCCCCCCTTTTCTAAAACATTCAACCGCATCTGGCCCATCAGTCACAGCCAGACCCCACCCGCGTCCTCCGCCCCCAGCGCAGCCCGGCCCAGCCCCCCGCCCGCCGGCCCCGCGGAGCCTCCCATCACCGCTGTCGGGAGTCCCCCCCGGGCCGAAATGCCCTGCCACCTCCCCCTTGTCTTGTACCAGGCTGACTTGGCAGCCTAAAGAAGCAGACTTTTCGGGCTTTGAAACAATTTTTCAGGAGGGTTGTTACAAGAGTTATGGGCATTGCTGGAGGACAGTTGGGAAAAAGAGAGCACTTCCCCTCTGTCCTATCCGAGGCTCACTCCCAGTAGCTGGGTACGGGATTTTCCCCGCTGCAGAAACCCCCTTGCACAGCCCGAGGGGCGCACACGCTGAAGAAGCTGCCTGACAACGTCTACGAGTTTAGTGCCACGTTTTAAAGCGCTTCACAAAACCTTTCTTACATCAGAAATAACATTTTGACTGCCCTGAAGTTGCAGTTCGGTTTGGCCAGCCTTAGCAAGGCGTCTATCTCAGCGAGCTCGTTCCAGTCGTTGCACGCTTCGGTGAAACGTAAGGAAAGGAGGAAGGAGATTTGTACAGGATTTTGTGGAGACTAAGAAGAGCCTCTGCAAGGTGGACACAATTGCATGTCTAGAGTTGAATTTAAAACTGTTTTTCAGTATTTCTCTGTACATCTCCCTGATGTTCTTTTTTCTTAAATCATTCTGGATGCTAAATCTTGAATATATACATGCTTAGTTACAGAAGCAACATGCTCACCTACATTATTGACAAACCTATATAGGAAAACACTCAAAACCACATGCTTTTTTTCAAAAATTGGTGATCTGATTTATCTAATATTTTCCAGCATCTCCTGCTAACATACCCTTGCGCTACTATTCACACCTCCATCTTTGTTTAAAAGACTTTTCTATTAAACAGCTTTCCCATTCAATCATTCTTGATCAATTTCCTCTTTTATGTCACAGTAATTTTTCTTTCCATTTTAAATTAGAGTATTTGTGGAATAAAGCCATTAAAGTCCCTTCTAAACTGTGCAAGGGTACTTGGAAGCTGATTGCACTCCAGCTAGAAGGTTGATCTTTCCAAGTTCACGCTTTTCAAGACTGTGTTGTGCAACATGATTCATTTTTATACACCATGGTTGATTCCTAGCCCAAAGATAAAAGTATGAACATTGAATTCAATATTATATTCTGAGCCCTGGGGATTTAAACAGTCTTTTCAGTTTTCAAGTTTGCATTTCCTCAATTTCCAATTCAGCAATCCATAAGTGAACTATGTTTTGCTAAATGCAATATTGATTTAGAAACTCTTGCCAATTAACACAGCATTAGCTTTCATCTCAAAATGCTTTTTTAGTTGCAAGGTTCCAGATAAGTCTCAAAAGCTTCTATGCTGTTCCAGACAATCAAGAAATATATTGTCAATACAGTGAGATATATTTGCTAACATTTTTATTATCACAACTCCATAAGATGTTTGCTACTAGTGGCATCTCCATTGCTGTCACTTACTCCAGCTCCAGAAGTTTTAGTAACAGCAATTTAATTTCTAAAATGTTTAATGTTAGTATACACAAACATAGTATATACAGAACTTTGGGCAGATGCTGATACCTGAAGAACATTACTCTTTAATGTTGCACAAAATGAGTCCATGTGACAAAGCATCTAAGCTGCTTCTGGCTGCAACTAGCTGAATTTGCCACCCTTTTATGTTTCTAGTATTTTTTTCAGATATTTGAGGAATAAAACCCAGCATATGCTGTGGAATAAATGCTTTAATTAATGAAAATTAAAGGAAAACACAGATTTGCATATATTTATGTGAGGATTAAGATAGTACTGTATTAAATACCAAGACCATATCAGATATCTTGGCAAATTAACTGTAATTTGAATGAAGATCAACTAACAAGGCTAATTTAGATTGCAACAAGAAAAAACATCTGTAAATATAATAGACTTTTGCCCTCTAAGTGGCCTCTGCTAATTAAGCAATGAAAGAAATTCCTTACTGAACTGTATGTAATACATTATATAAGATTATGTAAGCTGCTGCTAACGTGTCTGGCTGTTTTTGGTTCTTTTTTTCTAGATAGCAGAAATACTCCTTGTCCTATGGAAAGTTCAGGAAAATCTGATCCTCCAGAATGCCTGTTACTAATTTTATTGTATTCTGCACTTCCACTCCATTTCATCACACCAGATATTAACAATTATATGAATTAGCCAGTCACTATTTTAATTATAAGTCTGATGCAATACTTCCATCAATGACTGATAATGTTCAAACTTTTTTTGTTTTTGTAATTTGGACTACCATTTACAAAGTAAAAAGACTGGATAACTTGTAATCATCACTGGGATGATTCTTAACAACAGAAAGACTTTAAAGACTGTTATGTTACATGCAATATAAATCACAAGAAATGGTTACAATTATGACATCAAAAAGTCCTTCAATTAATAAGCTTATGAGACACACTGGAGGATTGGATGTTTTAATTCATATAATACTTTATTGAATCAATGAGAATTTTGTTATGAGTTTGCAGGTACTTTTGCAAATCCCATTAACTTTCTGTTTATGTTGTTCAGCAACTAAAGCAGCCTCAGAAGTCTGCCTCATCAGGCCTGCTTTTCTTTTTATTGAGTCTGGTGGAAATTTGCCCACTAACTGGGTCAAGTCTGGGATGAATAGAAAGAATAGCTGTCTCAGTGTGAGCCACTCATTAGATGCATGAGTTCAATTAAAGTCAGAAAATAGTCCTCTGTGTTGCAGAAGTTACTATAGAAACATTACCAATGGCAATTTTGAAAGAATAAAAGTACTTTGAGAAATTGAGATATTAAGATATAATTTTAAAAATGCAGATTTGTAATTGCATATGTTCATGTACTAGACATTATCTGTCTCATTTTTTTCCTTAGTCTAAATTTACACAAAAATATGGAATTCTTTTTAGTATGATGTGTAGCTATACTTTGTCTTTTTCTACAAAGCTAAGCAACTTCGATAAATAATAGTGTTGGCCATCAATTGCACTGTATTGACATACACTTAATTCTTGAAATAATGAAACAAATATTATCATAAAAAGTTACAATAAAACATTACCAGTAGATAGCACCAATGAAACATTGTTTGGATACAGATACCTGTTTTAATGTAGATTACATTGCAAGATCAAAACAATGAAAGGGAATAAAATTTGTACTGAGAAGAAAGCATTTGTTTTTTATAGTCTTTTTAATAAGAGTTTGGGGAATTTTTAAATGGAATTAAGTTCAAGCCTTTGAGTCAGACTGGTTGATAACTGAAATTTTTCTTCACATCTAACTCTAAAATTAAAACCAATATGTCACTTATTACATTTATTCCCCTCATTCTTCCTATTCAGCGGCAGCAAAAGAAATCACAAGGTAAATTACAGTTCTGAAACTGATATAGCAACATGTAATTAATCTGAGGTATAAAGCACACTGAATTATTGTCTATTAAGGGAAAAGTTACCGAAATGGGTTTGGGGAAGTAGCTGCATGTTTGAAAGAATTGCATTTCTGAATTTTATGGAAATTATTGAAACCTTTTTTGCATGTATGTTTTTTCCCCAGGATACTTCAGTAGAATAAAGGTGAACAAGTTTACTTTTAAATTCCAGCTGTAATAGAAGTTTGAATCAGAATTGCCCAGGAAGCCTAGATAAGATCAGTTGTCAAAAAAAACTGCATGTTTCAGCTGCTGTGTAAGGTATGTATGCATTTATACAGGGGAGATGATAACTGGCCATACATTGTTTATGTTGCACACAAAGATTACTCCAGGCAAGATTTTCAAATCTGGATTAAATTCATATCCAGACAAAATGCCTGACTTCAGCAAGAGTTGCTGTTATTCATTTATCCATGCTTTTTTGCAAGTGTGGCCATGTAATACAAACACTGTGTTCATCTGGAGAGAGAAAATCTGCCACCACATTCTCACTTTAATATGTACTGATAAGCTGCACACCAATAAAATAATTCAGTTAAGAATCCTCAGAATAAGGAAATCCATGCTGTAAATTAAAAGAGAGATTTCATGTGCCATAGAGCTGGCCGTCCACAGGCTTCTTGTTTACATCATGCTTGACTCCGCACAGGATGGTTCCACCTAGCTACAAAATCAAATCTATTACTGTAGGGACAGGCCTAAGTGGTGATGAAAGCTGGTTCTTGCCAAAATGCACTGGGGTTCCTTCCAGGGAGTAACGTGGCTGCAATTCCTAACAAATAAAATAGTCCCTGGGATCCTCTGCTTGCATTGGAGAGGAAGACACTTCCATTTCTAAGACGAGTGACAGACTTAGGGAAATAAGCAAGAGATAATGTTTAGATGCCATATACCAAAGAGGTAGAAGTACTGTTTATGTGGTTGACTGGAAGCTACTCAAATGCTCAGAGAGCTTGAAAAGTCTTTCTACAATTTATGTCATGACCTTGGACTCTAAGATTTTCTCTTATAGGACATAAAAAGATCTCATGTGTGTAAGTAGGTCCTTACTGATCAGACTTTTGAAGAAGCTCCTCACTTTTATTTTAAACAAATGTTGGATTGAGAATGAAAATAGTGCTTGAACATTTTCTCAGTTTTGGGTGTTGGCCATGGAAAGATCTTTGTAGTCATCAGCTCTCAATTCAGAGAACATTAGGGCACTGACTTCTGCAGGTCAGCAACCTGCTGGCTATTCTCTTTTGGAAGTTCCTAACACTGCTGGTTCTACTGG